TAATTCACTTTCCATTATTACTTTCAACTTAATCATATGACACTCTTCAAATCGATTGTTAATGGCAGTATGTTTTGTGATTATAGCGATGAAATAAAAAGAGAACGAAATACACTTGCACAATTTATGAAAAGTCTAAATTAGACTCTCATAAAATCTAACTACTGAATAAATTGGTTTAAGTATGCTTAAATGTTGATTTGATTAATGGACAATATTTTCACTTCCGTATTTCTACTTAAAATTTCGTCATTTAGGTGTATTTTAGTGTGATTTCCTGTATCTGCCATCCCTTTAGAAGAAGGTTTAAACCTCTGTTGTCTAGCAACGTAAATTAGTTACTTGACTGGCAAAGTAATTGAACACATTTTGTATTACAGAATAATTCATAGTAGTTTTTATTTTCTTAATTGTATTTCACGTTTTTCATCCTTAACAAATGGAGTTAAAAGAATGGGAAATTATGAAAAAAACATTAGAATATTTAATGTTCACAACAGTATGAATTACTCCAAGATTTCTCAGTAATACTTAGATGCGTATTAACTTCATTATCAGGTATTTATGATTATTTATTACAAGGAGAAAATAATTATGATAAACAGATGGAAGCGAATTCGCTTATAAATTTATTCGTTTTAGCAACCATAATAACTGTTGCTGTCTTATACATCATTCATTTCAGTGGTTTTGGCTTATGGTGATGTGAAAGTTTTCAAATAAAAAGGACCACATAGTTTCTGACAGTATTCAAAACTAAAGTCTCAATTCGAAAAGTCTTGTTTCTAAGCCTAAATGAGTTAATGCTTATTTGCTGGTGCAGGTGTAATGACAGGTAGCTCAAGTTGTCGTTACTGGATGCGAAAAATGCTGATTTTTGCATGGTCTGAAAGCAATCTAAATCATTTCCACTATGGAATGCAAAATGTCTTAGCATTTCTACTTATATTAGTTACTGGCCATTTAAATTTTATCATGCAATCTGCTATGCTTGTTTTTGAGTAACTTATCGTTACGTTTTGATGGTGAATACAGTTTCATCACTTAGCTAGAGATGATCATCGACGAAAGAATGTGTCTTTGGAAATACTAAGAGAAACTCAAAAATGCATTATGTTTTTAGTTCTTTGACTAGCAACACATCAAATACTACTAACCCAACTTGAAACATCTAGTTATAATTGACTCTTTCAAAACTTTTTTTTCTCTACAAATCTACTACTGCTCAAGAAGTATGAGCAACAACATATATTATTCAGACACTTCAGACTTATTTGGGATCGAGTGTCCAATTCTCGGTTTCTCAGAGTTAAAAGTGGTGATAGTTAAACATTGAAATCACCAAATGATAGTCTCACTATATTGTGCTTCATTTGATACCTTGATGTCCTTGTCCTTGATAACTTTTGAGCTCATAGATGCGCATTACTGAGTGCTTCAAATATCTTTCAGGCGCTTTCAGGTGCTCGTGGGTTATATAACTACTTTCAGTCTACGATGAAAACTAGTGTATATTCTTGAAATGGTTATCAAACTTATTTTTACGTTCTACTTTTTCTTGGGACTACTATGCAGATGGCTGATTCGGTAGTAAAAGAATGTTTCGTTAGTACTACTCAACACTGCATAGTGAATTTTTTATACACTCACTTTCTGATAAGATCATGGCATACTTTAGAGCTAGACACACTAACGTTACAAGTCTTGATTGTATGGGAAGCTCTTGACTTCCTCGTATCGCTAATAATATCAACCTGGGGTTATATTACTAACTGACTACATCTAGTGACTTCTTTTTCACGTATAGAATGACCCACGTCAAATTACATTAGTTGAAAAACGTAGCATAATAAACATCTTATGAATAAGTGAAGTAGTTTTGCAGTTACTCGGCTACGTTGTAGACCTCTCCGAAAATTCTCCTTAGTCAGTATGTAGCATTCTGAGAGATCTGCACAAACTACAGACTATTTGGATGTCAAAAATTCTTGGCAAAGTAACACTATGGTCCCATTCAAGCAACTCAGAAAAAGGCGAGTGGAATTAGTGAATCCATCTCCTTTTCTTTTGGTCAAAAAAACTCAAATGAGTGTTGCGTAAGAGGTATAGAGAAATATTATATTAAACAATCAATGACTTTTTCTTGAGTTTACTTCATTTAACCGCTTAGTGCGTCTTACAAACGACTTCTATTGACTGAATTTTCAACTTCGTGATTGAGTTGTTGATAGCTCAAACTTTATTCAAGAAAATCTATCCAAGAATTCTACCTAATCCACTGTCATCCGTATAATAATTATCAGAGAGAATCAATGAAGCAAACGCAGTAAAATTGACGTTAGCAATATCCTTCGTTTCATTAAATCATATACGTTTATTCTTTGATTTAGCTACATCTACCCTACTCTAATATTCCTTGCCTCATGTTATTTTATCAAGGAAAAAGAGTTCAAAAATGGTTTAAAATGATGTTTAATAGTTTTGTCACTGAAGTTTTACTATAGACTTCATTTTATTATCTTTCCTTACAAGATTCGTTCTTTTAACTTGTCTAAGTAAATATTGGCAACTTTCCAACTAAAGCAGTTTTACATGTACATACATACTACATATACTATACATATATATATATCTCCATCAATCTGATTGATAGTGAGAAAAAACACCTGACAAAATCAGGGTCAAAATTCTAGGCTTCAGTATAATGCAGCACCTGACTAAATGTAAGTTCTCTGATAGATAATGAACAGCATGTCTGATTTAAATATCTAGGTAACACATTTGTTAACTTGCTTAGTAGATTATAAAGCTTCCCACCAGGAAATGACCTAGCTGGATCAAAAACTTAAAGGGATAAATGAATTGTACCATTCCTAAATTGTATTAAGTCATAAATCCTAAATGAATCACACTTTTCATTTGATATTTACACAATAGCTTTACGTTTTTTTTGCACTGATAAATATCCTGTTGTTAAAAGTTATTTTCAATTTGTGTAACTCTTTTTTTAGTATGGTGCACAACCCATAGCTCTTTCTTTTTGAAGGACTCATTTTTATTCATATCATTTTAACCTTTGTAATGGATTACAGATTTTTCAAATACTTCAAAATATTACTTAAGATATATCAGCTACCTTCCTTAAACAGGATTAATTAATATACATTTTCATCTAAGTTTACTACTTTTTATGTTATTCTTTGTTAAAAATCAAATAACCCTATTTTTGTGATACTGTCTAATATAAAAGGTTGCAGCTAAAATTATCTTTTTTCTCTAGAGGTCAGTGAGATATTTTTAAATATTTCAGATAAATATTTACTGAAAAAAAACTGAGATGATTTCATAAAAGTATTTCTGTAATCAGCTAATTATAAAAAGTTCTACTATTATTCAGTGAGTATCGCGAGATCGGTTATCTAAATTCTAAGGCTTATTGAAAGACATGTATGCATAAAAAGTAATCAATGTTATTTTCTTTGGGTCGATTTAAAAGAATTCATGTCTTTGAAGGTAGATGTTTATCACATTTTTCATCACATATTTGTTGGATTCATGCATCACCTTAACACAACAACAGTTTGTAAGAAAATCAGAGTATATTCTTATGTTTTTGGCTGGCCGAATTTTATAAACGTTACATATAGTATTTACAGCTTGTTATTTAGTATTAAACAAAATGTATGCTGAAACTCTTAGTTATTACGACTGGAAATTGATTTCCTTGTACGCAATGGTTTTCAGTGACACAAGACTGAACCATCTCTTGGCACGTAATATGCAGCCGATATTTTATAAGTCATGGACAAACTTCCAGATATGATGAATAATATATTCATTTACTATCGGAACTTACATTTCTCACTGTTAGTATCTGGATACTGCTCTGAGTTCAAGTTGGTCATGAAAATTGTTTACCACCAACATACTTCTTTAATATAAAAGTTGGATTTATATATTACAATTATAAAACTGATTGTTGTTACAAATACTCACCGGTGTTCAGATTGATAGTGAAATTTTTCACAAATTAAACCCTACCTCAGAAAAGAGCTTACTGCATGCATTCACACTTTGAGCTATAAATATTCGCCACACTTACCGAAGTGATAATTCATTGCATTAGTTCTTGTTTTACTGATTGATAGCTTGCTGAAACCTTTGGCTACCAAACATTTCCCAACCAATACATTTCATCAAATTCTTCGTCTTCAATTTGTTTTTATTAATATGTCTTTTAAGCGTATCATGTACTCCTGTACAATTTTGGTGTTATCAAACTGGAATTCTTCAAGGCAACAACAAAACAAATAAATGAACCTATAAATACATAGAAATACAGAATATTACTATTCTTAGGATACCGATATCGAATTGCAGATTTCTTTGTTGGTTGAATTTTTCATAACCAATACTATTGTTTTGAATAATTCCTCGACGACTTCACCAATATGTATGTTAAAGAATCCAAGTAAAACAGTGTAACCGAGTGATCAGAAGTAAACAAAAAATGATAATTAGATGATTTACCTTATCATACTTCAACAAAAAAACAGTGAGAATTAAAATAATAACAGAAATCTCAGATTGTTTATCTTGGAATTATTTGTACAAAAATGCAAGTATAACTGCGTGAAAATAGTTCTCATAGTTTAGATGGGGAGTTATGGTACACATACACACTGTCAACTTTCATGACTTTTATCACATTAAATTCTACAAATAGAAAAGGCAAGCTGCATTGTACAAAAAGGTGAACATATATCATCTGGCTAAGTTGATAAGGGTTTCTGGCTCAAGATAACAGAGATTTGTTCATATAATTTGAGAAAGATATTTAGTCATATAAAACATCAATCTAACAAGTGATATTTTTATTTCCAAATCTTTTATCTTTAAATAAGTGTTATCGTAATGTTAAGTTTGACTGAGTTTTCGTTGTTCCATACTGATAGTAATCCCCCTTTCAAATATTAACACTTGATATTTTACCTTTAAAGGTGATTTACTACCAGCTGACGGGATAATCCTTCAGAGTAACGACCTGAAAGTTGACGAAAGCTCCTTAACTGGTGAACCGGATCAAGTGAAGAAAGGTGAAAATGTTGACCCAATGCTGCTATCGGGTAAGTATAAACATTTCAGTTATTAATAACAGTCTTAAAATGAACTTGTATGAATCAGTAGGAACCGTTATTTAAGAAATTATAGTCGATACTGAAAATATATCTATTAGCCATGCAAAAATGTCATAGTAATAAACATGACCTGTATAACACCGGAGACTGATGTTCTTATCCTCCATGTTTGCATCTAGTGTTCTGTCTCTGTGTCACCAGAGTCTTCACCAGTCGATCATTACCACTTCTTTTTAATTCCTATATTGGTCTATATACTACTAACATGCAACCTTGTAAGTAGTGTCTATCATTGGGTTAATAATTTTATTCTCATTTCATATGAAACTGTATCTTCCTGATGTTTTATTTCGAAAAAAGGTGTTATTTTTGCCAAAAATATGGAGTTAAATAATATTCTTAGTTTAGCTGCTGATTTCTAAATCATACCGAACCCTTTCGAAAAAAACATTTCAAGAAATGCGCACATCAGTCCATCCACTTTGTTTTCCTAAATACATGAAGGCATATTTTTCGTTTATGTTTTTTTATTTAGAAAAATCAAAATTTGCTTGTTTAACTGACAATCCTTACTTCGAAAAGCTATATTAAATTTTCAAGGCAGCATTCATCATGAACCCACAACTCTTCCAACCATCAAACTCACAACTTTCAGTTTTCACAGGGAACGCGTTAACCTTTCAATCACTGTGTCGGAGTTCAGTTTTCCACAGTTTCCTACTTCTGTGAATTTGTGACACAGCGTAACTACCTACCAAAGTCTTTAATTGACATCTGCTTCACTTCTGACTGATTGGCTTCGCTGTTCACGGAGTTTCAAAGAACTTAGAGGTAGCCGTCTCGAAGCTTGGGAGTCCCATACTAAGACGAAACAGCTGTCCAGTGCTCCCATGTTCTCAGTTTTTCTCAAACTGATTTCAGTCTGTCATCAATACTACTTTAAAAATAAAATCCCTGATAACCCCAAAATACATTACGGGGATAAATGTTAAAGGAAGTGAAATACAGACATTGGTCACAGCGAAATTTAGTTCAGAATTTTGTTTCAACTTTATTCTTTTTTTGGATAAATAGTTGATTTTTCTAAAGAACTCAGTCTATTATCTAATTGAATACCTATTAACATCTCATTTAAGAGGAAGCTTTTGAATTTTTTTTGGCAACTTGCTTTGGTGCTGTAAATACAAACGTAACAGTTAATACACTGTCATGTACACATTTCAGTTATATGGATTACGCATGACATATTTATGCGGTCCAATTTCCTTTCACATAATCCATGAAAAGTTGCCTTCAAGTTTCAAAAAAATGGAGAGTGAATGCGATTTACGTATTAAAAATCTGTTAACTTATTGTTGGTGAATTCAACGTGTTTCAACTGTAAAATGAACCAATTCATCTCAACTGCTGATTTACTAACTCGTCAGTGATATGGAGAGGTATAGATGGGTCATTGTAGTGGTAGAATATTAGTTTTCACAACAACTGTTCCAAAGATACACCTTGGTTTCAATACTGTCGACAACTATTCCCTTAATGTTCTCCATTTTTTGTATTCACAGCTGTGATATTTATTTATATACTTCAAGGGATAAGATATTTCTTGACAGCATCTCTGACCTAGTAACTGAGTTATGATACTTCGCTTTCCATGTTTTCTTTCCGAAACAAGTTATTCTCATGCAGTTCAACAAGTTTTATGTATTTGGATTGTCGGTTGTTTAATACTTGGTCAACATATAAACTACATTTTCCTAAAGACTAGCCAAAATAATCCTCCTCAACGACATATTCAGTTTTCCAGAAACACCACTTTTACACCTGATCATTTTTAGAACGAAGTTTAAATTTTCCTGATTGAATTTTCCGAGGTAGAGGTATGTTAGTTGACCGTTTAAAAAAAGTTTACATAAGACTGTAAGCAATAACAGCTACTTGGATAGGCAGAATATTAACTCACTCAATTCGTCAAAGTAATATAAACAAGTAATTAGTGCAATATTTATCTGAAGATTATGTCACTAACAAAAGCAGGATTTTCAGTTTCTCTGTGAATTTTCACTGCCAAGATATTCTTTTTTATTAGTAATTCTTTATTACAGACAATAATTCTTAATACACATCTAATGTTTCAACAGATTTACCCCTTGTACAATATTTTCAAATCAAATAATGATAGCAGTTAATCTAATATTAGTAATAACAGCATTACCAGCAGTAATACACAAAGATCAGATGTTCTTAGGTTACCGTCTAAGTTTTTGAGTACGTTGTTGTACGAGTGGATGAATAACGAAGCATCCGAAAGTATGATGTTCAAGGATTAATCAACCAGTATGAAAATTTGCAGTTCCAGCTAACCTTTCTTGTAATATCTGTGCATTGAATTATTGTGCAATTAAGGTCGCACTGTCATCTGTCTTGGTATTCTTTCATAGTTTCGCTGTTAACCTGTGTGAAGATATATTGAAGACATTTTTAAGAATGTACGAGTGTGTGTTTTGTGATTTGTTGACACTTGAATTATGGAAACATGCAAAAAAGAAGGAAATTACTTAAACAAATTCAATGGAAATTATTTAGCGAATTGAAATACTTACCAGAAGTTGGTTTGTGGTAGCATGGAAATATGATACAGCCTGATTCGTAAGTCGCATATTCCAATTTTACTCAAACAGACTGTTGATAGTGATTGCAAAGTTTCCAGCTGAATAAGCTTCCATCACATAAAGGAAAGAGAAGTGTGTTAAAGATGTTGACCTGTATATCAAAAAAAATCTATGATTAGAAAATGTTTTTTGAAAAAAAGACTTTTAAGATTATCAGTGAACTTTCAAAAATCTTTACTCACTTTAATAATGATGAATACATTTTCTAGAAACATCATTTTTTACTTTAAATTAAATGATGGTTTACAGTATTTCATGGCAGAAATAAATAGTTCATTATGCGTAATCAGCCTTAAGTTATTCAAAATGCAGGGTGAAAGTTAGAAAGTAGGAGGAGGAGGAGTAGGAGAAGTAGGAGTAGTCAGACGTAAGAGAAAATAGGAAATTTTGATTCTTATGTCTCATTCCACTCAGTGGGTAATCTTGTTCTCTTAGGTGTTAATTCCTCCTATGGCGATGTATTAACACAGACCATTCTTATTTTTCACAACACATTAAAAATGAATTGAAAACCTTGAAAAGAAAGTAGTTTGTAGAAAAATTTAATTCCAAATGAGTAGTTTAGCGTTAAAGTATATAGTACTTCATTTAGACAACACTGAATTCCTTGTACTGTAAAAATATATCAATTGACATGTCCAGACAGAGGTGAAAACCCAATGGTAAAACGAAAAAGTAAATAAAATATTTTCCATCTTTCTATCTACACTTACAAATATTTGGTTTTATATACAACTTAATTGAATCTTTAAAGATATTATAAACTGATGTATATAAATTGTTTCGTGTTCTTTGAGCTTAAGTATTCATTATTTGATTTTGAACTTTCGATATGTTAGGTACTAGTTTTATTGAAAATAAAGTTATAATCACATTCTGTCAACGTCTCATAACCATCTCACAAACCAATGAACCAATACTTTGGTTCCTGTTACTGACAGATAACACTAAAGCTTTTAAAATGATTGAAAGATGTTGTCACTGCCTTAAGTATTTCAATTTAATCACCGATAATCACAAATACTACTAATACCAGCATCCGATTTCTTCATGATATACTTATTTTGACTCAGGTCATAATATCTTTGAAGACTCAAATGAAAAAAATAAAGACTGTATCCTTTTTCACATCTATAGTTCCATATTACTTTTTATGTTACTCTTCACTAAGGAGATGACATCTGAGTAGAAATTTGACTCCATTCATATTCTTTTGTTGAATAAAACGAAACTTTTTCAATTAGCTCCGATACTCAGTTGAGCAGGTTCATATATGAAGAATGGTGAAATAAACCCCCTGAAATATTCGTGCTGTTTTCGTCTAATTGCTTACCACGTGAAAATAGGTAGAGAAACCACTTACAAAACTGGTGCAATTTCGAGACCATTTTATCCTTATTGGTTATAAATATGCCATTAATTGTGTTGGTAGATCTTTAAAAGTAGCGATATGTCTAAACATATGCCTATTTTCACTGAGTAAATGATTTGGAATATTATTGATAACAAAGGAGTCGAAGTTGTAATTTTATAAACTTCGTTTACCTAGTGAACCGGAATAATTCAATGACAACTGTAACTTAGCTAACGAGAACTAATGAAACGAAATCAATTAATTCGCTTGTACCAAGAATAATCTCAACATTCCGTATTTCTTACAACCAATGGTTAGTGTGCTAGCTATTTTGTACTTGTTGGTCAACTGAACTTCAGAAGAATATAAACTGGTATTTTACTAGAGATTCTTGTAAATTTATTATTGTGAAGAATTACAAGTCGGAAAGAGTGAAGCTAGTGCAGAAGTACCAGGCTAATGTTGTGATAAATTCTTCGAAGTGATAACCTTAGTCACAAGTTGCTATTCATCAATTAGTGTAAGTTTTGGAAAAGGAAAAACAAGGTGATCTTATTAATGATTCTGTTGCTTCTCATACCTAACGGTTGAAACAATGCGTTGACCCATTTAGGATTGTCACAACTATGAACTTGAATGGCGCAGCTTACAAAGAACATTTTTCAAGCGCTGCCATTCCATACCGCATTCAGATATTGTATTGATACACAATATTTCCCTGTATTAACATAAAAATTTATATTTCCTGCTTTTTCGAGGGAGAACACTGTTGCAAAATAATCAAAAAAGGGTATGGTTTATTATCCAATTTAAGTTCAAAATCATTGATCCTTGCTTATTAAAATGGTAAATTTATACATTAATTAGTCAGTAGAGGGTGCCTGATTTCATGTAATCTATTTCTAAGAGCAGACCGAGTAACAATCGAGGGTTAAAAAACTCTATGTTAATATCTTTAACTGCAA